AAAAAAAAAAAAAAAAAAACCCAAACCATTTGCCATCTATCCCATGTGTTTTAGAGTAGAACTGCACTCGAGTGGGTCTTCATGGCTGCTACCTCTTGGAAGGAAGTTGCTAGGCCTTTCTTCTAGGGTACCTCTGGGTAGGTTCAAACTGCCAGGGTTTCACTTGCTTCAGTTTGTTGGCCCAGCGCTTAACCATTTGCACCACCCAGAGACTCTTTAAGGGAGCACAGACCTCTGGTTAATCATCCTCTGTGCCAGTTTTCCTCTTCCCTTTCAGCTTTCTGAAAGGTGGAAAATAATGAGAGTCCTTGCTCCCCCTCAGTGAGGTATTAGACCTTTTCCCTGCAGGACACCCAATGTGAGTATTATCAGTTAAGCTGCCAATAGGTCTTTAGTGCAGGCCCCATGAGTCAGAACTGACTGAATGACAATTTTTTTTTTTTAAATCCTTGATGAGTCTTGGGTTCCCAGCCATGGAGTTGGAGAAATTTAAAGATACAGTCCTGTCTCAAAGGCCCTAACAGACTAATAGAGAAATGAGATTGTCTCAGTGAACCCATAATATCTGACAGAACTAAGCAAGTGTCCAATGAAGAGAAGAGGGTGAAGGTAGAAGAGTGATCTAGGCTTCTTGGAAGAGGTGGGAAAAGCTGCTCCCTGATTGGCAGGATGGAGGGCATTCCAGGCAGGGCATATCATGTGAGTCCCCCACCCCCCTCTTAGCATTCTCTTTGGAGTCTGTTGTAAGGCTGGATAGATTCCTCTTATCTACCTAGTTTTCTTTCCTTTTGTTCCTAGAAAAAATGTGCTGTGTCTTTCCCTCGAGTGCTGCCACAGCCAGTGAAATCCTCCCAGATGTTCCAAGTGCTTCCAGCCAGAGTAAGAGCACCTCTGCATGCTGCCCAGTCTGGAAACCCCTGCTGCTCATTGTGCCCCTTCGCCTGGGCATAAACCAAATCAACCCAGTCTATGTTGATGCATTCAAAGTAAGTTGCTCCTTTTCCCAAGCCCATTGCTACCTGTCCATCACACCTCCATGTGAGCACAGAGATCCGTGAGCAGCAGTCCACAAGTGAGTTGAGAATCTTGCATTCTCTTTCCCTCTAGGAGTGTTTTAAGATGCCACAGTCTTTAGGGGCATTAGGAGGAAAGCCAAATAACGCCTATTATTTCATAGGATTCTTAGGTAAGAAAAGAGGAATCACAAGTAAGTCATCGGGGGCCAGGGGAGAGGGGGGCAAAGGTTTGCATGGGAGCCCAGGCAATTCCACTGTTGGACCCTCATCTAGCCCAGGGATGCTGTGGCCTCTGGTCAGCCCATTCCGGGTCCAACCTGATCTAAGGGGAGGAATACTTGTGCGTGCCTGATAGAAAGCAGATCTCCTTACAAGGCCTCCACTTCCTTGTTTCTTGATAAGATGGTTCCACCACTGCTTTTCCACTAGATCACCCCAATGTCACATCATTGCCTCAGCACAGCTCTCTTCTTCCTGTGGGACCCAGGGCAACAGTTTCACTCCCTTAGCCTTGCTGATGACTCATTTATTGGCCAGGAGCAGTCCTCTGGCTTCCCAGGCCTTTGCAGCCAGGCCTGCTGGCTCATTGTTCAGAGCTACAACTGGGTGGGAATTAGTTGAGGAAAAGACTAGATATCCCTTTCCTGATATTGAAGGACATGCCTTAAAACCATTAACTTCCTAATGTGGATACTAATGAGCAGGCTGGCATTTGCTGCATGGTTTGGTGCCTCTGGAAACCCAGAAACCTTACTCACTAGCTGTGACCAGAGACATGTAAGGAGGTGAGCTAGCCTAATGCTTCTCAAACTTTAGTGTACACACTACTCTTCTTGGAATCTTATTAAAATGCAGATTTAGTAGGTCTGAGGTAGGGCTGGAGATTCTGCGTTTCTAACTAAGTGATGCCGACACTACTGGTCCACGAACCACACTTTGAGTCATGGCAGCCTAGAGAACTGGTTAGTGCTGAAGGGCAGGAGAAAGGGAATGAGGTGGCTGGGCAAAGTTGGTACACACCTCTTACAGGAGTGGAATGGTCTGAAATTGGTCCTCAACGAAGTTATGAGCACACTTTGGTTGATAGTGAGGGAGAGCCAGAGCAAGTGTTCGGGGATGACTTGAGGGGGTGGGCAGAGGGACAGGGTGGAGATTGGCTTGGTCGCCCTTCCCAACCCATCTCCTCATGGAAATTGAATGAGGTGAGGGAAAATGGATATAGACATATCTGGGTTTGCATGTGCGTACCATCCCCCCTCAATTGCTAGCTTTTTGTGACCACAGAAAAGGGTCATAAACTGTCAGCTTGGGTTCCTTTTATGTAAAATAGGGCTAACACCTGACTCAGTGTGGTCATTTCACAGTAAGGCACTCAGCAAAGAGCCAGTCATGTAGCACACACTTGGAAAAAGGTGGCTCCATCTTGCCTGACCACCACACCTCTTTCCTTTGCTTGCTCTTCCTTCCTCCCTTTAGTGTGGAGGGTTGCCGCACAAATGTCGCTGCTCTCTCTAATGCTGCCATCTATTGGTCAATCATGAGAACTACGATATAATGGAAAATCTGGAGACTGCGGAATCTTTCTTTTTCTAAGTAAAAATCCACTGTTTAAAGTTATATACATTTAGATGTCCTCTATTTCTAAGATTTTAGGTTCCTGTCATTGAGATGTTGAAAAATGCCATTTCCTGTTGTCTGTGTCTGAGGACAAGGTTGAAACTGATTGAACAGTAACTTGGGAGGGATCTCAGTGAATAGTGTATGTGGTTCCCTGGCCCCAAAAAACCAAATCCAACTCACTGCCATCGAATTGATTCTGACTCATAGCGACCCCCATTGAGTTTCCAAACTAGTAAATCTTTATGGAAGTAGATTGCCCCATCTTCCTTCCACCGAGCAGCCGGTGGGATTAAGCTGCCAACCTCTGGTTAGCAGCCAAATACTTTAGGCACTGCACTACCAAAGCTCTTCCCTGGCCCCAGGCCTCCCTTATTCCAATTGACCCAGAGACAATTTGCTAAGCTGCCGTATAGCCCTCCTGTTTCCTGACGCCACTGTGTTGGGATGACTTTTGTGAAGTCTGACTTGAAAAGAGGAGTGGGGCAATCCTCAGTTCTTTAATAAATAGCCCCAAATAGAGGTTCACATAGTACCCATTTGCCTGTTAACCATTTAGAAATCCTTTGTGCAGCCTTCACTTGTAACCCCAAAGTCTCCCCAAGACCCCTGCTCTGACTCACTCCATTATATAAGGTTAGGTGGCCCATTTGGCAAAATGCCTGAAGGAATGACAACTCTCATTTACTGAACAGTTACCTTGTGTCAGGATACATGCCTCATGTATACTATGGGATTTAATCCCTGACAACACACCTGTGAGGCAGAGATTATTATTAACATTTTACAAAGAGTGCAACTAAGATTAAGAGAGGTTATTGCCAGCTTGAAAGTGAAGCCAGGATTCAATCCAATTTGGCCAATAACTCCCCTACAGTCCTCCTGCCCAGTGGGAAGCTGGAAGAAGCTCCAGGTGTTGGTGAATATGGCCATGGTGAGATTCTGGCAATCAGATTTTGCCTGCTTAGAGAGGAGATGCTTACTCCTGGCGTTTGGGTATATGTTGCCACTTGGAGATCTATACAACCAAAAACTCACTGCCGTTGAGTCAATTTGACTCATAGCAACCCCTCCTTGGGTTTCCGAGGCTGTATCTCTATAGAAATAGATTGCCCAGTCTTCCTTCTGAGGATTGGCTGGTGGGTTTGAACCACCAGCTTCCTGGTTAGCAGTCAAATGCCTTAGGCACTATGCCACCAGAGCTCATAATCTCTGCCTCACAGGTGTGTTGTCAGGGATTAAATGCTGTAGTATTAGCTTTGATTTCGAGATGGTTGAGCAGCCTGCCTCTTCTCCCTGGACCTCATTAGTGACTTTTGTTTAGTTCCCACATCATTTCTAGGAATGTTTACATCTTCTACTACATCTCTTATAAGCACTCTCAGAAATGAGGCACCCTGCAAAGCTCCAGTACACACACACACACACACACACACACACACTTGAAAAAAGTCCTGGCCAGAGTCAGAGAAGGTGATGTTATTATTCCCAGTACCTTAATGTGGAACATCCTGGCAGACTGCTTGGTTCCAACCCTACTTTTAGTTTCCATTTTGTTGTCTACAACTTCCTTTTCTTCTTACTTTCTATGGTCTTAGGTAAGCTGTCTTCTAAACAACTGATCCTTGCTCTTCATTGTGACCTGAGGGTCTTTCTAACATACATAAATGATCCCACCCATCTCTCTGGGCATGGTTACTTCTCTTTTTGTGTGTGTGTGTGTGTAATCTTTTTGTTTGTTTGTTTGTTTTTATTTGGGTGAAGATTTACAGAGCAAATTCACTTTCCATACAGCAGTTCACATATACTTTGTCTCATGTCATTGACCACAGTTTACCACAATGCAACA